AGTCATAAATTTGGTAGGAAATGTTCAAAATCTGTATGAAGAAAACACCAAAATACTCCTGAAAGACACAAAAGCAGATTTGAACAGTCATCTTTGGTTCTTGGAAAAGATGACTCAATATGATAAATCTGTCAGTTGTCTCCATGTTAATTTATGAATTGAATGCAATTTCAATAAAAATGTCAAAATATTTTTTTTTCCTAGAGCCTAAACTGGCACTAAAATTCACACAGAATAAATACACGTAAGAATAGTTGGGAATACCTGAAAAAGAGAAGCTAACCAGGAGGTCTGACTCTACCAACTATTACCCTAAAACCTTTGCTGTTAAAACAGTGTGAGACCTAGATGGGGAAAGTAGGTCACCAGAAGTGGGCCCTGGGAGGGTTTGTCTGGCCCCCTGGCCCCTTCCCCCCTCTCTACTTTGTGGCTGCCTTGGGCTGAGCAGCTGTCCTCTACCATGCCCTTCTGCCATGATATTTCTGTCTTGGAGCCAGATGACCATAGACTGAAACTTCTGAAACTATGAGCTTATTTATTTTTCATTTATTTGTTAGTACAAGAGATTGAGCCCAGGGGCACTTAACCATTGAGCCACATCCCCAACCCTTTTTAAAAATATTTCATTTAGAGATAGGGCATCTTTCTAAATTTCTGAGGCTGCCTATGAACTCTCCATCCTCCTGTCTCAGCCTCCTGAGCCACTGGGATTACAGGCATGTGCCACCATGCCTAGCTGAAACTGTGAGACTAAATGAATCTTTCCTCCCAGGCATGGTGGTGCATGCCTGTAATCCCAGCATCTGGGAAACTGAGGCAAGAGGATCAAGAATTCAAAGCCAGCCTCAGCAACTAAGTGAAGACCTAAACAATTCAGCAAGACCCTGTCTCCCCAAAAAAAGACTGGAGATGCTCAGTAGTTAAGAGCCCTTGGGTTCGATCCCCAGCACAAATAAATAAATGAATAAATAAATCCTTTCTCCTTTAAGTTGTTTTTCTCAGGTACATGTCACAGCTACAAAACACTGACTAACACAATGCACAAGATTATTCACTGTAATAATGCTTTGGAATTGCAAAATATTGGAAACTATCAAAATGCCTATAATATAGGAGATGTAAACATGAAGAATGTCACATGGGTACAATGGAGTACTCTACAGTTGGGAAAAAGATGGGCAGTTCATGTAACTGACCAGCACAATGGCTAGATAAATCATTAAATTAAAAAAAATAAGCAAAGATAACAAAAATTTTTACAGGACAGGATGAGTATCCCTTTTCCAAAATGCTTGGAATCAGAAATGTTTCAGATTTGGGATTTATTTGGACTTTGGAATATTGGCATACACCCAATAAGATATCTTGGGAAAGAAACCCAAGTCTGAACATGAAATTGATCTGTTTCCTGTATACCCTATACACATAACCTGAAGGTCATTTTATAGAATTTTTTAGCATACCTGTTTTGACTGTGACCCATCATGATGTCAGGTGTGGTGTTTTCTCCTTGTGACATAGTGTTGGCTCAAAAAGTTAACACATTTTGCAGCACTGGAACATTTGGGATTTTACACCTTGTACTTGAAAAAAGAAATAAGAATAATATACAGGTGTCTGGTTATCTTGGCAAAAAAGAAATACAAAGAAAAGATACACCAAAACCTAGTGAGACTGGTTACCCAAGGAAGAGAAATAGGAATAAAAAGGGATTGGAAAGGTTGGAGGAGGACCACACTACCCTGAGTGGCCTTTTCTCCCAGTGTTGCCTTTGTTCTGTAAATGACCCCAAAATAACAATGAAATCTACATTGTCAGACTTGAAAACACAATACAAAGAGAAAAAAATGAACCTAGCAAAATTCAAAATATTGTTTACAATCTCATAGAAACAGCAAAACTATATTTCAACTACATAGCCTCCAAATAAAGACATAAAGAATGGCAAATATGGACCTCTAGTTAGTAGGTAGGTTTGTTTTTTACAAACATAATGAAAACACTCTCAATGTGTAATAACAAAATAAATATGGACTGTCAGCAAAGAAAGTCACAAATATGGACAAGGGCAATGAACCCTACAGTGTTGGATGAGAACTAGAGATCAGTATGAACTTGAGATTTTTTAGTAGAATTATATGTATGGGGCAGTTTATGTGTGTGAATATATGCAAGTATATATTCCCAGGTTTATCATCTGGTGGAGTCTGGGGTCAATGACATGCCAATGACGATGAGCACACTGATCACCAGCTGTGGAGCTCCTCAACACCACTCTCTACTACAAAAAAGCAGCATGTTTTGGAGAAATGGCTGATTCTGGTGCTGGGGTAGGGAAGGTCCAAGCTTCCTTACTGGAAGGTTTATTGTTCCGGAAACCTCAGAAGTGCTGAAAGACTAGGATATGTCCAAAGAACACAGGAGGCGACCTGAAGGAATTCCCACCGATTGAGAATGAAAGTAAACGGTGGCCGTAGTGCAGGGTTGGTTCCTTATGTTTGTGATATAAAGGAGGAAAGCTTCTTCTTATAGAACGCCAACAAATCATTATGGATAAGGCCGCTGGAAAATCAGTATGTGACAAACACCAAACTTGGGGTCCAGCTGTCATCAACCAGTGCTGACGCTAGTAGACGTCAGCTTAATGGAGAGTAAAATGCCTACTAATCCCGGCCTCCCACAGCACACTTCCTAACGACTGTGACTTGAAGAAAGGTCTCTAGAGGGTAACTGGGCCCAGTCTCAGAATGGAGGCTGAGCGTGGGGACAGCGGGGGTTCTCGTGCGTACTCCGTCCTCCTGGGAGAACCACAGCTCAACTCTGCTGCCCTTGCAGCCAAGATAATCAGCCTCTAGAAAGTACCATTTTGCCACTGGACCTGACCAATCGCGGTGACCCACGATCCACTAACCAAAACTGAGCACTGTCAGAGCTGATTACAGGACTGTGACCTGCAATCGACCAATCAGGACCGAGCACTTCCAGGCCTGACCAATGAGCTGTGACCTGCAATCGACCAATCAGGACCGAGCACTCCCCACAAGCCTGCCAAGCGCCTCTGGGTGGGAAAGTGGGTCAGAACTTTATGTAAGCCAGCGCCAGCCTGTGTTTGTAGCTGGTTATTGAAATAGAGTTTATCTTTTTCTCTTAAATTTCTTTCTAACGGATTTTATTGACGTTACAAAAAGCAAACTAATAACTTTACAATGGAGAAACCTGATAATCACCAGCTTAACCAAGTGATCAAAGCTAATATCACTAGCAAAGAAACAAACCAGAAGAAGGAGGTATCACTTCGTGGTGTTCTTACTGAATAGGCGTAATAACTTCAATTTAATCATAAGGAAACACAAAACAAGTCCAAACTGCAGAATAGTCTACAAAATAATTGTCCTATCTATTTATTCTCTTTTAAAAGTTCGGAAGTCATAAAAAAAAAAAAAAGGCCAGACCAATAAAGTACAAAATATACAAAATAGAGCTGGGGATGGGTTGTGTGTCCCTGAATTCAGTCCCAAGTGGGGAAAAAAAAATTACATGGATTCAGCTAAGAAACCACATAATCTATCTGATTGTTTAGGGAGAAATTCAATGAATGTTAAGAGTCACTTATATAGTTAGGAAAAGAGAAAAATCAGTAAACAGAGATCTGAAAAAATTCCCAGTATAGATAAAAGATATAAGGATTTTTTTTTTAAAGAGAGAGTGAGAGAGGAGAGAGAAAGAGAGAGAGAGAATTTTTAATATTTATTTCTTAGTTCTCGGCGGACACAACATCTTTGTTGGTAT